GCTGTGCTACCCGCGCAACTCTACACAAAGTGCTCTCCAGCCATTCTAAACACGCTAGACAGAGTTTGGGAAACCGAAACTTATCCAGCAGAGAGACACGTCAGTGTGCGTTAACTAAAGAGGCATCAGCTCATCTGACGTGGTAACCAAGGTTTTTACACAGACTTTGCTGAATTGATTTGCAGAAAATGAGACACATGTACCCTCCCTAACCAGAGCGTATTCCGCCCCGTTGTGGGCAGCGTTGACCAGTTGTTCACCTTACGTCGATTCTAAGGATATTGCCACAAGTTTCAACAAATCATAGCAGTCCGCTTCATGCTTTTCGTGTGGCACTCGATTTCGTAGATTGTGTATCTCTGTGGAACATATTACTGACCGATGGTGTTCCAGTTAGACTTATTAACCGCACGATACTCCTACTACCCGAATCTGCATCCACGGCGAGGACTCATCTGCGTTCGAGTTGAGATCTTGAACACAACAGGGTTGCCCATCGTCCCCTAATGCTATTCAAATTTACTATTGACTGGATAATGGGTCATTTCTTGCAAAGATGTCAGTTGGGTTCAGATTTTTCCGAACTTCTGGCTCACCGAATTAGAATTTGCTGATGATATCCTCGTCTTTGGTGAAAATGTGTCGGACCTACTACCACTGAATCGTCTCAGGGAAAATATCCAAGTTCTCTCCGCAGAAGTTCGTCCTTTCTTTCTGTGAAAATTGGAATGGAAATGGAAGACTGTCGGCCATTAGAGGTTTTGGATCACCAATGCATAATAATCTTTCTAGGAATCACACATTGAGATCAGCTCCCCAATGAAGCATTCAGAACCGGTGTTTTCATCTCTTACGGCTTCTCATACTCATACAGTAGGGACAACTGCAATTGTTTCTATACGTACTACGCAAATCCGACAGACCTAACCAGAGCTACCCTGACACCGCCTCTTTGCCAAACTAATGCTGTCGATGCGATGGACAGCTCAAAACTTGGCTAGGCACTGTACGCTTGGATGCAGAACACCTTGTTCTCTGCTCCGTATGCAGCAATCAGGCTGGATCACAGTCTGGGCAGATCTTGCCGCCGACTATCGGTTATGGGTTGCTGCAATTTAGAATATTCATGAAACTTCATCCTCTTCATGGAGTCAGCAGCCGTAAAATAAGTGTGAACTAGGTACGATATCGAGCCAAGTCAAGGCAATGTTGTCTGCTGGACAATATCAGGGTTGGACTATCTGAGTTTACCGACTGTTTTGCGTCTTTAGGAGCAATGGAACCCAATAGACCATTGTCATGAACCATTCGGGACTGGTGTGTGGCAATTTGCACGTTTTTGAAATAGTACTTGAACTTTTAAAGCGTCCATAAAACTCCTTGAACGTGCGTCCGCTATTGAATAAGTAAAGGCATGGGTTCACGGAAAGTGATTGCTCGATGAAAAGTACGGTGATCAAAGCAATAATCGAACTCACTACATAATACCAGCTACCACCATAGTACTAATCTGGTTCACATCGTTCAACATTCATTTTCACATTCAAATGATAGCCCGCCTACTAAGCATGCGGACCTTGGATGAAGTTTCTTCAAGATTGACTGTGCAGCGCATCATTTCGGAACATTTCAGTGGGGCTGCGGTTCATCTCTATTTGTGATCGACATCATTCATTTCGAAGTGTACTGCGATAGCTGAAAGCAGAAGAATTTAATATTTCGGTAATGTGCTTCTTGTGCACTGACGTGGTAGCCCTGAAAACTGGTGTTCTTCAGGCTAATACGGTTATATAGTCAAAATGAAAATGAAGATGTTCGTCAATGGCTGTGTGGGATTCGTGTTCACTCAGATTGCCGTGGCCACATGGCGACACAACCCCCCGAGATGGATATGACCTCTCCCATGACCCCGCGACCCTAACACGTGTTGACACGTCCACGTCCTAATCGTTTTTCCTAACCGTGTTACGATCACATCCTCCCATCCCACCCTTTCCCAACCACATAAACAATCACAAACCACGAATCACACAGCCATTGACGAACATTTTAATTTTAATTTTGACTATATAACTGTATTAGCCTGAAGAAGTTGTCGAAAACGAGCTTGTTCGCTAAAACCACCATGTTTTCTCTCCATGCCGAGATGAGAATTTTCCATGAAAACTGGTGTTCATCAAGGGTTCTTTTCAAAATCTGGTGCAATGTGTTTTATTTCCTCGGCACACGTAAACAGTCATTTCGCTGCTTGTCATCGACTGTGAACTGAAAATCATCCAAATGCACCTCCGGTTATTCATGCATTACCTCCGCAGCCAATATCCTTGATGGAAACAATCAAACTCATATTGACAACCAGCCACTGTGCACTTCTACGGTATCTAGGCCATTGTGTTCTTATGTCAGTGGAAAGACCATAAAAAACCGTAAATTGTATTTCCGTGGTGTTTCGACCGTTTATTCTGCTCTTTTCTCGCTTTCTCCAACTCATGTTCACGAGAACTTGGTCAGCATTCGCCTTTCTAAGGAATAAAAGAAGTATTTTTTTACTTAATCGAGAGTGATTGCTGCAGTATTCTACCGGGTTTCAAGATTCGCGAGTGCAGATTATAAACCTTTGTAAACGGTTGTATTGGGCAACCAATTGCAGTTTGTGGATTGAAATGGATATGGGATTTGCTATCGAATTTTGCCAAAGAATTGTGTGTAAGGCGAACAAGTAGCGAAGCAAATAGCAATATAGCGCACTCTTGTAGTATTGTAACAATAGGCTCCTTCACAGAAGAGCTTAACACTACCCAGTGCGGATAGCGGTGATAAACCTCACTCTAAGACCATTTCGTTTCCACTGCTAGATTTATCCTTGACTGTTCTGTATTCCTGGTGTAGTAGACCCTCTGATTCGGGAGTTCATGTTCACAGGTAGTCTGTTACATACGATTTCCTGCATTCCACTTATTCCTAAGTGTTATACACATTCAGTTTCCCGTTTTTTACAATCAATATCCAGTTTTGCTTTCTGTCTCATCACTGGCCATTTGGATGAGGTGTAAAGGGAATATTGGAATGTCAAAATCAGTGTCACAGTGGAAATAGAGAATTTATGAAGACTAAGTTTGCAAGGGTAATGTGTAGATGCACCAGCGCTACTCTTTAAAACGCTCAGCCATAGCACTCAGTATCACTAACCATTGATTACAATGATCCCGATGTCCCTACCCAGGTAGCATAACGTGGCCTATGTGAGTAATTTTCCTGGTCAGGGTTTTCGTACCATGTCAGGTCTTAGTTTGACCACGTTTTACTTTTTCAATTCATTTGCCTCGGTAAACAGCACGCACCGTAACAATCTATTTGGTGACTCGTGCAACACATGCCTCAACTATCGCAGCCTCTGGAGGTCGACCACTGGCTCCAGTAGGCAGCCACGATTACGTAAAACTCTGCGCCTAACCTCTGTACTACTTGCTGGGGTTCCCCACAAGACTGGTGCAGTGCGACGTAGACAGCTGTGTTCGAATTCTGGCGGTCTATATTTTTCTTGTTTTGGTAACGGTCAAGTATCCGTGCCGTATAAGTGGAACTGGTCGAACTGCCACAGCATCCTCTCGACTCTTCACAGACAGCCATATTTTGTAACTGCACCACAAATATCTCAAGTTGGCAAATACCATTTGAACCTTTTGTATTGGAGCCCACAGGTCATCCGCAATGCGTCCACCGGGTGAGACATAGCTACCCGGGTAGCAAAATGTGCTCACTACCTCTTTTACTGCAGCGTTAGTGAGGTTAAGAGTTGGACCGACTCTGTCATGAAGCAACATTTTACACATTGAAGTTGCAAACATGCTGAACATAGCACTACAGATTATGGAAAGATAGGAGTGTCAGTTCTCGAGAAGTCTATCTGACGTTCACAGTTGACAGCGGATTTTAGCCTTGAAGATATCCCTTCAAGCTATGAACTGTTGCATAATTGAAGACATCAACCTGGTAAGCAAATCATAAACATCTTTACAATTCTGGTGTTTTTCCAGGCAATCTTTTGTCCACAGGGAGATTGAATTCATCCCGGTAAATAGTGTTGCACTTTCTATCATCTACACTTTGTCTCATCAGAATCTTCGGATGTGGCAAGAGTTCTTATTATCCGTATATTGTTTATTTCAAGGTTGGAAACTTGCCGTTTCGTCGTGTTTGCAAACGGCTTGGCGCAGAAATCACCTGTGGTGAAATGGCACTGGCAACACAACTTCTTCAAGGTAGACAAAGTGAATGGGCCCTGTTACGACGTCATTCGTCCGAGGATATTTTTGGAGTGCAGGTAAATACGGTGAACTGGTGCCTTATTCCACATTTACAAATCAGACAAATGTATGTTGTCGGCTAGTCCGCTATCTGTACTGGCGGACTTTGCTCTGTCGAGCTGGTTTTCTTTTCAGTTTTAACTCGGTTACTTGTGAATAGCGGCACGATGTAAGTTATTGATGATTTTGATCGACCACCCTCGCAATTCCATCCGTGCGTACAATCCTTAATTCGTCCACTGACCGACTAGATAAACTGATAATTGACGCATACAGACACGTGTTAGCGTCCATATGCCCACATGCGCATTCTTTTCATCCAAATGATAGAAACACTGATTTCGACTTTATTTTTATACCTCAACACTTATACATATATGGTTTACGTCCAAGCCTCATGATTATTGAGTGATATTCCACTCCGGAAAAAGGGCCTTTACTTTGGTCTAGCTGTGCATTTATGCATCGAATCTATGATTGTTTGCACTTGGGGCGGTTGTGGTGGTGGTGGCCAAGCGGCTTAAGTTACTGTTTTTAGCGTGGTTTTATTCATGTGTTCCTAGGTTCGCACCCCGTTACTACCATCCAACTTTGTTGTCGTCCGTTTCAATACCACGCCTAGCCTATCGGGACCTCATGTGATTCGTCACGGCAAGTCTTGGGGCTTAGGTTGTCCGTCTCCACGAATGTACAGTGGGTCCTCATGACCATGCGGTTTTCCGTGTCTACTTCTCATCAGACATGATTGTGTGATGAAATCCAAATTCCGCATTCTTTGCGATCGTTTTCGGACACATTTTCCGTTTCAGATTTCACGATGGCTCATCGTCTAACGAGTGCTTAGGTTAATCTCGCAGTTCGCAACCAGGAAGTTCAATGTGACTTCTGTGACCGATTCCCCATTCAGGGTTTTCATACCCTTATTTTAAAGCGTTTGATTTTGATTCCCATTAGCCTCTCTCTGTTCACTGCTTGCCTCGGAAAGTATTGCTATCTGATGGTGGTCATCTGTGTAACTGGTATGTCTGCGTTTTTAAGTGCTACCACGGTTGCGTAATGCTCTCCACCCAACCTCTCCATTGCTTGTCCGGTCGCGGAAACAAACAAAATCCCTTAAATTTATCATTCATTGTTTCTTGGGTATCGATGGCACAATCGTCGTGCAGATTACAGCGAATCGGCTGATCAACTGGGAGCCTCATGGGAATCTCGGGTACATGGGAGTACTATTTTCAACCCGTTCCTCCGCCGCTATAACGCACTGGTTTCGATTGCTCTGTTTTATCAAGTCGTTCGCCGAAACTGATACAAAGGCAAACTAAGCTAGAAAACCGAAAATGTTTCGAGTAAAGTAAAGAAGTTATTACAAAACAATACAATACAATACAAACACCAATGCTTCCTTCAGACAGAAACATTTCCACTCTAGGATACTGGTCTTCTTTATGGAATGGTGTTTGATATCAGCCTTGGTAAACACCACATTCACTGAACATTGAAGATCAAGTCTTTCCAGCCAACTGCGACTTTGTGTAAGACAATCTGCCCACCTCTTGACAAAATCTAAACTTAGTTAACAAAATGGCGTTTCATCCATGCTCTGTTTGAGTTGGACTGGTAGTGGCCCGCTCACCTCTCTTTCTTTCCCCCTCTGTGCGTGCGTGTGCGTGAATAGCGCTTCGCGTACTTCGGTTATCACCTGATCTCCACTTCCCCACATTCCAGCTAGAAGCAGCTCCCGGTTAATCACATGTTATGCATTCTGAAATGGATGACACTAGTTGGTACATTTTGTTTTCGTTGGTGAACAGTGCATTCAGTTGTTAACAGTCCGTTCTATGCAGTATGAATACCGTACTGATTTTTTCTTATCCATCCACGAAAGGCGCAATGGACCCTTTATACGTGAACACCTGGCTTCTCTCCTTCATCTGTCGATACTAAAATACTACTTATTCCACTGCCTTAAGGAAATTCATTATTGTTCCGCAGACTTGAAGTCGTAAACGCTACTCCCCATTCGATCCTGCATATTTTCATGAAAACGTTTTATATTATACACCTGGTGTTCGTTACCTCTTTTTTCTCTTGCTCTTAAAGCTCCCAGGGAATAAGTGAACTGACTAAAATTAAATACAATCATCAATAAAACATGCTGAAGTGTCAAATGTTTTTTATAAACTTAGGATTTTAAGCGCTCTGCGGTCATTAACGCAGTTTTCTTCATACAGTTGTGTGCATTTGTTATTGTACTTTTTATTCCTACAAACACAGTTTTTCTGCTCTTTTTCTGTCCTGATTTTATACCGCGATTTCGCTATTAGCCGTTGTGGTATACCATTAACCTGTGATTGTCTTTTGTGCGGATGGTTATTACATTCGCGAGAAGATCACATTGGCTTTGTCCTTTGGTTGTAGATTTGTGGAGGTCACGTGGACACGATGACCAAAGCCGCTCAGCTGATAGACGAGCACTGCGAAGTCGACTTTGTGGATATAAACTGTGGTTGTCCTATCGATCTGATATGGAAAAAAGTGAGTCGGGGGTAAAGTCGTATTGACTCTGGGGTTTACCCCTCTTGTTGTAACTCATTTCGTGTGTAATGAAAAAATTTAAAGCCTTTTGCAATCGAACTAAGCTTAAACCACCTGTTTCAGCCTCGCGGGAAATGTCTTAACCGCCATGGCTATGAATAAATACCACATG